CTCACGAAGAGGTCAATAGGTTACGATCCGTGCTCGTGAAGAGTGACAACGATCGACGTTCCGTGACGGACGAGGTGTTGGAAGTGATGGGCTTGAAATTCCCTGTAAAACAGATTACAGTGATTCCGATGGGGATCTGTCTCGGTGAATTGACGGGCGTGCATTCGCCAGATAGTCATGTACCACCGGTGGATGATTCCACGTCGGTCGGCGCGTTCCGCGACGATTATCTTCTCACTTTTGTTCTGCCAGCAATTATTATCGCCGCTATGCTCATCGTAGCGGGAATCATTGCGTGCGTTCTGCACAGACGAAGACGCAGCGGGAAGATGAGCGTCAGCGAACAAGATGACGAGCGGCAGAGTTTTCGCAGCAAGGGAATTCCTGTTATCTTCCAGGACGAACTAGAAGAAAAGCCGGATCCTGGTAATAATAATTTATTAGTACCATTAAAATTATATCGATGATGTATTATCGGTCTTTCATACTAACACTTATTCGTATATTTCAGGCAATAAATCGCCTGTCATCCTGAAAGAAGAAAAGCCACCCCTTCCACCACCAGAGTATCAGAAAGCTGAGGATGGGGCTGACGTACCGATGCTTCCAAAGGAGAACTCCGAAGAACCATACCAACCGCCGCCGCCGTTTGCCACGAATCGCGACACCAATCGGCAAAATCGTCCTAAACCCACTCCGACGTACAGAAAACCGCCCCCTTACGTGCCTCCCTAACAAAATACGGTACACTCGCCTACGCGCAAATATATGTTAGCAATGCTCGGAGACTCACCGATACACAAGCAAAACCAAATCAATTATAAAAAGCAATCTCGAATTGGCGACGATGACAATGATGATCGTGGGATATTGAATGTTTATAGCGACGTTTGAAAGAAAGCCCTTCCATTCATCCGGTATGACAATATACTGCTTAGCGAGACGTGAATGAAGAGAAAAATCATCCAGCGAGAATTTTCTTCGAGAACTCACATGCGATTTTACTTATTTTGTATATGTACTACTACATACAACGGCACGTCTCATCATCGATCGATAATACGTTCGAAAAAGATTTCTCTCTCTCTCTCTTTCTCTCTCACTCTCAATTTTCAATAATGTAAATAATATTAATTTAAACATTAATTTATAATATTAGTAAACTTTTGTAAAAGAAATGTAAAAGTTATTATTGTTTCGCATTGACCTGCATGCCATTTTCGAGGAATGGTTTGGACGAGACAAAAATCGCTTTTACATGAAAGAGCGGCGTTGAAAAATGAAGCTAGCAAATTTATCAATTTGTCTAATTGAACCGCGTCCGCGTTTATCATTTCTCTCGAATGCTGACAAATATCCCTGGTAGCACAATGAATTCTTTGATTATTCTATTTATCAAATATACTATTTTAAGAATATTCTTACAGAATTATCTATGAATAGTTGTAGAATATTCTCGTGTTAAAAAAATGTTTTATAAATCTGTTTAGAACATTGTATTTAGAACGGTCTCATTTTAAAATTCTATGCAGATTCATAGATCGTTTTTTTCACTTTATTAGAATATTCAAATATTTACTGAAGGATATGTATAGAATGTTTATAGAATAGTTTTGCGCTATCTGGGATCTGGTACTGCCTATAAATCGATCATTTAAATCGCGATTTGCATTGGTTCAAAATAGATAAATTTATTTTCAATATTTTTCGGTAACAAAAATGCAATATTAAATTATTTTTATCATTATTTATTTATTTATTATAATTTATTTATTTTTTACTATGATTTATTCATGATTTATTTTTTATTGTGATTTATTTATGATATTTTTATTACGATTTATTATGATTTATTTATTATAATTATTTTTATTAATTAAG